CTCCCCCCCCGCTGCCACCCACCCCTGCTTCCCTGTTTGCCATCGGTTGATCGGTGCCTGATGGCCGGGGGAAGGGACCGAGAGGTCAGCTATTCCTGCCTGCTCACCAGCCCCGCCCCCACTGCGGATCCCCCTCTATGTGTGGGGTGACTGGAGGGGTGGGGGCCTTGGCCTGGCGCCCTCTGTGTCCCCCACCACCCACCCCCAGTTTCCTGTTCATCATCAGGCTATTGGAGCCTGCTGGCCAGGGAAAGGGACCAAGAGGTCGTCAGTGCCCCTCATAATGACTGGTCCAGTGGTCTTTCAGGTCCTTCTGCTGTTAGGGTGAATTTGCATATTACCCTTTTATTATATAGGATAGATTATTTGTTTGGTATCTGTCTTCTAGCATCTTTATTTTAGAGACTCTGTTTTGTTCACTCTTATTGCCAGCTGAAGCACAGTGCCTGGTGTGTGGTAAATACATGCCGACTAATAGGCCTGCAGTGGTGTCCATTCAAAAGAAAGGATTGGTTGATTGTCATTACATACATCAAAAAGATAAAGGAAACATAAAATACTTTAAAATTTTCTAATAAAGTATCTTTTGTTTTGTTGTTTGGTCAATTTGGTCTGAGATTTTAATAAGCGATACTTTTTTTTAGCTTTATAATGTAAAGCTATTTTTTTTTTAAATTTTTTCAGAACCATAGTAAAGGTATGAGTTGGAAAAGAAATGACATTTCTCTCTGCTTCACTATTGACTACAACAAGAAAATCCAAGCTCATGCCTTGTAGCAATCTCTACTGAAAGGATCTGGGGATAGATTTAGGATATCCTCATCAGAATCGCTTATAATATTAAGATAATTCTTTTGTAGATTTTTCCATCTGATGAAGGTTGGCCATTTGCAAAGTATCTTGGAGCTTGTGGAAGAATGGTGGCTGTAAATTATGTTGGAGAAGAACTGTGGAGCTACTTTAATGCACCATGGGAAAAACGAGTTGACCTGGCTTGGCAATTAATGGAAATAGCAGAGCAGCTTACTAACAATGACTTTGAATTTGCACTCTACCTCCTGGACGTCAGCTTTGACAATTTTGCAGTTGGTCCTAGAGATGGGAAGGTAATCATTGTGGATGCTGAAAATGTTTTGGTTGCTGACAAAAGGTTAATTAGACAAAGTAAGTATATAACTTTTAGGTTTGTTTTTGTATCCATTTTTTCCTGTGTCAAAATAATGTTTACATTTATATGAAGCAAGTCTTTCATTTCCTTCTTAGATGGCAACCTTACATCTTTTTTTGTTTTATTTGACCAGTATCAGTAAACAAATATTGATTAATTATACATGTTCTTAGTCACAGCTTCTCCATATTTAGTAAAATATCCTTTTGGTTCAATCAGATATGCTCCGAGTGTGTATGTACACATGTCTTTTTCCACACAGTCTGCTGTTTCTGAGCATTAGGAGTCTAATGCAAAATTAAGTTGTATATACTACTTACAGGCTGCCAGAAAGGCTGTGCTGCTCTCTGGAATGTTCCATGTTCCATTGTTCTGTGGGGTCCCTACAGTGATTTTTTTTTTCCTTTTCATTAGCACTGTAAATCTTTAGCTTTGGTTTGACATTATTACATCTCATGCAAAACTTTACTCTCCATTTCTTCGTGAGTTCTTCAAAGTGTAGGTGGGCAGAGTGTCTGAAATGTTTTTAAAATTAAATACCATAGGAATTTTAAAACATTGGGGACAATACCTATAGTTCTATAACTAACCTACTTAGTAAAGGGAAATTGAAGGGTTGTTGCTTCATGGTGAGAGTCTTAATATTTTTAATTCCCTCCCCTCCCTTTATATAAGGATCTTCTTTGTGGCACCTGGGGAATGCAGTAAATGTAACAGCAGTCTATTAATTTGACACTCTTGCATGATCCTAGCTTGATCCTGTTAAATACTATTTGGTTTTCCCAGTGCCTTGTTCTATTGGACACTCAGCAGACTAGTTTCTGGTTGTATCCTGACTGGCCTGTAGATCCTCCCACAGGGGATGGACACCCTGCTGGAGGCTTCATTCCCACTTTCCTCTCCTGCATGTGTAAATGCAGCAGCAGCTTGCACCATGCTTTTCTTTTTTAAAGTACACAAGTCAGTGGTTTTTATTATATTCACAGAATTGTACAACTTGCCTTAATTTTTAAAGTATTCATTCCAATGTTTGTAAAAAGAAATTTTTAATTGATTCTAGAGAGAGGAAGGGGGAGAGAGAGAGAGAAACATTGATGTGAGAAAGAAACATTGATTGGCTGCCTCCTATATGTGCCCCCACAGGAATCGAACCCACCACCTTTCAATGTAAAGGATGACACTCCAACCAACTTAGCCACACTGGCCAGGGCTAAAATTTAAAAAAAAAAAAAAAAATTCTTGATGTGAACATTCCTGGGATACATGTTACAATTTTACACCAACTAATTCCTGACTTGGAATGAATACAACCCTACAGCTTCTCTATTCTTACCTTTCATACAAAGAGCATTACTCCTGTGCTTTTTTAGGCATGCCTACTTATTTTCAAAAGGCTCAAGTAGGGCTGACTGAATAGCCACTTTGCAAATGGCTATATCTATATTTACCCTCTTTCTAGTAAATTGCCTGTATTTTTATCCTTCACCAGGAAATGGAGGTTTTGATGTGGCACATCCCTTGGTATTCTTCCTTTTACTAGTACCTTCTAAGCCAGTGGTTCTCAACCTTTCTAATGCCGTGACCCTTTAATACAGTTCCTCATGTTGTGGCGACCCCCAACCATAAAATTAATTTCGTTGCTACTTCATAACTGTAATTTTGCTACTGTTATGAATTGTAATGTAAATATCTGATATGCAGGATGTATTTAGGTGACCCCTGTGAAAGGGTTGTTCTACCCCCACAGGTTGAGAACCGCTGTCTAAGCAGTAAAAACAATACATACTCATCCCTCTTCTTCAGACACAGTAAAGAGCCTTCTTTGAAAACCTGCTGCATCAGTTGTCTTCTTTAACTTTCTACCCTCCTTAAAATCCAGTTTCTCTTGCCTTCCCATAAGCAGGTTTGTTGCTTTTCAACTGTTTTTAAAATCTGCCTATCTCTGCTTCCTGAGTCTCCATTCATTCCTCAACCATTAAAACCTCACTTAGAAATCTGCATTACCATTAGCGACCACCTAATTGGCCAATTCCTGAAGTCACTGATTAGTAAAAACTTCATGAAATTCTTTACTCCTTTGGTTTCCTTCTACTTATCACATAGTTCCTTTTTAAAAACATAAATCTGATCTTATCATTTCCTTGCTTAATACTTTTAATGATTTCCCATTGTTCTTCAAGTAAAATTCAAATTCCTCCCCAGGGCATAATCTGTATGACTTGACCTTATTCTGCTTCGTTTTTAATATCCCTCTGTCCATTTGTTGCCCTTGATGCCTCAGCCAAAATGGCCTTTTGGTTTCTTGAATGAACCTTTCCACTTCTGGGCTTCCCATATGCAGTTTTCTCTGCCTAAAATACCACATCTCTCTTCTATATGCTGTTAGGTACTTGTCCTTCAAGCCTTAGCTTAAATGTTAACTCTAAGAGAGACTTGACTTGACTGCTGTATGTAACTTTAGGTTGTTTCTTTCATAAGTCTTTCTACTGTTAAAAACTCCTGTTTCCTTCATAGCATTTCCTACAATTTATGATAATGTTTGTTTACTTGCTTAGTTTCTATTTCACATACTGGATTGTAAGCCAGTGAGGATAGGAGCCATGTATATAATCTGTTTTGTTTACCATTAGACACCCTGCTTGCCATAGAGCAGGCATTCAAATCATTACTTTCTGAATGAATGAGTTTCTTTCACTAACATCTCTACCCCTTAAGTTTTAATGTTCGTCTGTCAGTCTTTTTTTCCCTTTTGCTTTCAACATATTTTCAATACAATTAAGCCATTCTCTTGGCTCCACCAAACCTTTTATGCTGATGCACTCTAAATATGTATTCTGTCCCTTTGGCTTCAGTTGCATATATTACATGTCCACACCTGAATATCTCATAACCACTTTATATTTACTTTATATATATAAAATATTAACACTGTTATGTTAATAGTGTCTAGGTTTTCATCTAATTAGGACCTTAAACTTTACTCATACACTTACCTGTTAATTTCTGTCTCAAATGTTTCTACAATCTGGCTTTTTTTTTCTGGACCTCCTTTAGTTGCTGTCATCATGTTAGTCCCTCCAGTCTTCAGCCTATCTTTCTGTAAAACAAATCATAGTCTTGATTACACAAGGTAGAACTTATTTCTCTAGCCTCTGCTATACCTCCTTCCCAGGTACCTGTCTCACACTCTAGCCACAGAGAACTTACAGTTTCCTGAACTAACTGGATCAGTCCCTTAGGTCGATGCCTTTGCACATACTGTACCCTCGGCCTAAAATGCTGCTTTTCCTCTTTTTTTTTTTTTTTCTAAGGCTTGCTTATATTTTAAGGCCTAAATCAAATGTTCTCTCTGCAGCCTTCTACAACCCCAGACAGAAGTAGTGCTTCCTCTGTATTCCTGTGCCATACTACTGTATGCCACTTTATATGATTAGAAGGTTTCCCTCTAGACTGAACTCTTCAGTAGTAGGTACCTTGTTTGATCCTCTGCTTGGCACGGATGTGCTCCCAAGAAATCTTTATGTAAATTAATATACTTAATTGTTTAAAATTATAATACAATTTTAAGAACAAATACTATGCTAATTAGGGTATTGTCAAATTGGGAATCAATAAAAACTCTTAAAATATATTTTCCTCTTTCTGCTCTTCCTCCTTTTACAGATAAACCTGAAAATTGGGATGTATGGTATGAAAGTAAATTTGATGATTGTGATAAGGAGGCTTGCTTATCATTTTCAAAAGAAATTCTTTGTGCTCGTGCCACTGTGGACCACAATTATTATGCTGTTTGTCAGAACCTCTTATCCAGACATGCCACCTGGCGTGGCACATCTGGAGGACTCCTTCATGATCCACCAAGTGAAATTGCCAAAGATGGCCGGCTAGAGGCCTTGCTGGATGAGTGCGCCAACCCAAAGAAACGCTACGGCAGATTCCAGGCTGCAAAAGAACTGCGGGAATATCTAGCTCAATTGAGTAACAATGTGAGGTAGTCTATGGTGAACTTTTTTTTTTTCTCCATTTAAATAGCACTGGCTAATACTAAACCACCAAAACTATCTGGGAAAAAGAAACTTGGAAGTAATACTTTCAGAGGATGACAAACGTGCACTGATACATCTTATGGTGAACTTTTCTTTTCTCCATTTAAATAGCACTGGCTAATACTAAACCACCAAAAACTACCTGGAAAAAAGAAACTTGGAAGTAATACTTTCAGAGGATGACAAACGTGCACTGATACATCTTATGTTAACATTCATCAAAATAAGACATTACTTCAAAAACCATATGATTATTTTGCAGATCTTTTTGTTCTTACACTTTGGAAACTTGAGCTATCCTTGACTGCTTTGCCCCTTGAATGCCTGAGTGCATTAATTAATATTGTCAAGCTATTAGAAATGAATCTGATAGTTATATTGGCTTGTGTATCAAAGGGTACTTGGTATACTTGACTTAGTTTGCATATAGTATCATGATTTTGTGAATCTCTTACATTTACTTTGAATGTCACATTAGATTGGCCTGTTTTATAGGCTACTTTTTCCTTCCTATTTTTTTTTTCTATTTTTATGTTTTTCCTTCAGTCTTACACATGCAGGTTACTTTTAAATTTGGACTAGTTTTAATTCAGTGCTATGCAGTACATGTTAACCATTAGGACAGGATTTCTAGGTTTACTGTGTTTTTTCAGGAAGCTGAATATTTTATTATGTAAATACTTTTCTTCCCACTTTCTGTGGTTTCACCATTGCATGAGCTCATTTAAGGTTATTTAACAGTTATATCACTCTGTGCCAGTAATTAGAATTGTACACTAAACATGAAGTTGGCATATGTTGCTAAATGTCATTTTGTCCTTTAAAAGGCTTTAAGAAGAGTGTGTTAGTAGTTTTCACCTTGATGTTCATTTTGACAGGAAAATATAACCCCGATATTTTTTAAATGCTAACTAGTCTAAAATAGTAATGCATATGCCAAAGAAATATTAGACCTAGTCCCATGGTTAGAATTTAAAATTGGTCACTTACTCACTCTTATTGTCCTACTTGCAATATGTTCTTTATCATTATTAAGTTCATATCTCCATGGTCATTTTTTTATCTTGAAAAGTTAAGCTACTGCTTCCCAGCATAGGCTACTTAAAGATATTCTAACTTTCATTCATCGGTAGTTTTTCAAAAGTAACAGGCCTCATGACTTTTTATTAATGAATGGATTAGTAATTTATACTGTAGCCAGTCTGCCCAACATGGTCTTCATTACCCAGTTGTTAAACATCAAAACATAAAAAATTAAGTATGTGGATAAAAATTAATAAATATGTGAAATTTGTGGGCTTTTTTAAAAAGTTATAATTGACATATATTGACTATCACTAACTGATATTATTTTTGTTTGAAATCATTACTTTGTGTATGACAAAGTTTGGTGTAGTGTGCAGTATTTAGTTCTAGTTCTAGACTGACTTTATTATTTATTAATCAGAAAGTGATTAAAATATGCACAACCAAAGCCACGTTTTTCTTCTGTTTTTATGCATTTAGCAACTATTTATTGAGCCACAGCTCTGTGTCACGCATATTACTAGCTGCCACACACTATCTGAACATGACATGGTTAAGTAACTTTACAATGATGATCAAATATTTTTATGTAGGTATTTCTTAAATTAGGATGCTGCTGCTTTCATGTTATTTTATTATTGTGATGGAAATTCTACTTGTGCCATCTATAACCGGGTTGCTATAAAAAGAGCAGGATGTTCTTAATAAAGGTAATTCCAGTTTAAAACTGGAAGAAGGATAAGATTTCTTCATTGTAAAATAGATTGCAGTGTGTTAACTTTTATACATCAGTACATTAATATATCAACTAGCCTTCAAACATTCAGTGCTGGAAATTTTACTATGCTGATGTTTTACAACTTAGGAAAACTTTTGAGGGGAATAGGTAAAATTACTTGTCAGACATTCAAGCCTTCACTCAAAACTTCAAACAAAATAATACATTTTCAAAATGGAGCACCTTTTACATTTGATAAGTCTTCATTACCAGTCTTAGAATGCCAGTCACAGAAAGGTTGTCTTTCTGCGGCTTAGCAAACATTTATCTTACTTTTGGGAAGTGATTGTGATTGCAGAATAGGAAGTGAGAGAACAGCTGCCAGCAATCATAGCTGCATGAGGGAGTTTTGTAAAACTGTCATTTCCTTGTAAAATTATGTGGAATTTTCTTCAGAAAGTTGAGAAGGTAGTAAAAGAGTTAGGAATTTAACAGGGAAAATTGTATGTGAAAAGCAATAAATTTTTGTTCACTTTGCTATCAAGATATTCACTATCAGATATTTGTTATACAGCAACAATTTATATTTTTAATCATTGCCCATTAATAGGTGCAGTAAAATATTTTTGAATCAGACATTTGGGGTTTGTATGTGCATTAAAGTTGTTTTTTGTACTGTAAGTTACTGTTTAATTTGAATAATTTACCAGAACTGTCTCCCTGTGCCTTTACAATATAAAGTTGTTTCTGCAACTTTAATGCTCTTAATAAAGGATACTTTAAGAATCACACTTGTCAAACTATCTCTTATCTTCAAATACCCAAATTTTTCTTGAGTGGAAAGTGAGGTTGTATAGATGTTATTTTTTTTCCCCCTGCATGTATTTTGATATAATTTTCAGAAACTATCTGTGTGGGCATGGTTTTTCTGTAATCATGACATTTTTAACTTTTACCACTAAAATGGTATTAAACTATATTATCGAATTTTTCAAATGTATACAAAAGAATAATATATAAGGAACAATAGTGTAACTATGGTTAATACTAACTTCAAAACATGTGGCCAAACTTGTTTCTGTATCTCAACTTACTTGCCACTAGCTTATTTTAAGAAAATCTGAGATACTTGAGTCCAGTGTTTTATACATTAGGTATTCTCTCCTCCAACAAAACCACAGTGTATTTCACATTTAAAAATTGAACAGTAACACCTCAATATCACTAAAGCAGAACAACTCAAATACCACTGGTGTTGTATAAAAAGCTCAAGACCCAACTGCAAGTATTTGATGACCAATAAACATAACAAAAATGGATTGTAACAGTTTAAATATGTAAATTATGCATTCAAAATGATAATAGCAATAAGAAATGAACAAATTTAGTCATTTTTGGAAGGATATTGAGGAATTATTCTGAAAACTGGTATCTGGGAAAGAAAGAAGCATTTATATGCCTTACCCCCCAAGTAATTAGATAGTTGAAGGGGAAAAAAAATCTGTGGGATATGTAGAATTATTCCGGTTAATGCAGAAAGAGTGTTGTTAAAATATTGCTCTTTTGCAATTCTTAATTGACAAGAGCTAGGCAATGATTATCAATAGCTGCAAACATTATTAATTGAAAAGGAGTGGATCAGGAGGTCAAGACCTGAATTTACTAGTCAATCTCGATGTGCTTTCCAGTACAACCCAGTGAAAAGGAGCACCCAGCACCACCTGTGAGGTGTCTTCCCAGGAAAAAAACAAAAAACCTGCATCTGATCAAGCCCCCAGATCTATCTGATAATGAGAAACACCCAGCACAGAGGAACATGTTAGAGGCGTCCATGGGATGCAGTCCAGAGAGTCCAGAATGGGCAATTTTACAGGGTATATAACTTGGTTTTGTTTAACAAATGCAAGGAAAAGAGGGAGGGAGGCTTTGCATTAAAGGAGACTTGCGTAGCCCATAAAGTAAATGCAAAGGTTACCTTTCTATCCTTATTAAAACAAATTAACTTTAAAACAAAGTGGAAACAAAATTTGAACCATAGATGAATGTCTTGGGTAACCTTATCTACTTTAATTTTGCACTTGCTTTGGTATGTGGAAAAAACTTAAAGAACCTATTGTATACTGTAGATGTTATAGCTATAGTTCATTATACTAGATAGCTATGTGTCTAAATTTTGTAATAGAACATTTTAGTTCTTTTTCTTTTGAAAAGTATTTGCCCACGATCACAAAAATAAGTAGTAGCAGACCTGGGGGTCAACACGGATTTTCCAATTGCACAGTGGTCGGCAAACTCATTAGTCAACAGAGCCAAATATCAACAGTACAACGATTGAAATTTCTTTTGAGAGGCAAATTTTTAAAACTTAAACTATATAGGTAGGTACATTGTTATTAACTTAATTAGGGTACTCCTAAGGCTTAGGAAGAGCCACAATCAAGGGGCCAAAGAGCCGCATGTAGCTCGCGAGCCACAGTTTGCCGACCACTGGCCTACAATATTCTACTAGACGAGGATGCAGTGTTTTAGAACCAGAAGCATATAGTTGAAGGCAAGATCATATAATTGTAAAAACTCATATGCATTTCCTCAATTATTAAGTTAGGGGAATAAAGGATTTGTGAGGGCAAGAAAAGGAAGAGAAATCCCAAGTGAGATAGAGACAAGGTGAAAAAGAAGTAAAGTTTAAGAGGGACATGGGGAGAAGAGGGTAGAAAACGAGAAAAATAATGGAAAATAAAGGGTGGTAAGACCTTTTCTCCTTTGACCTCAAAACTTTAGATCTCTCAAATATCTATAGATTACTTAGATTATTCTTCTCATTATGAGTTTACTAATATATTCTGTTTCTAGGGAACTACCTCAGCCTTTTAGATTTTTTAATTATTCTACAAATATTGTTGAAACTAGGCAGAGCCTTATACTCTAAGTTTTAAGAATACATACTTGTAAGAAAGTTTACCTTGCAAGGTGACAGACTTTTAAAAATAAGCTCATGGTATTCTGTCAAATTTAGGATTTTGTCAATTTTAGCTTTACTTTTCTATGTATATCACAGATGTTTAGATGACTCAAGACATTGAAAGAAGTCACTAGGCTGTGAAATGAAGATATGACTAACAGCTCTAGCCAGTTTGGCTTAGTGGATAGAGCCCGGGACCCTTTGGTCAATTCCAGTCAATGTCACGTACCTTGTTTGCAAGCTCCTCACTGGCCTGGACCCTGGTCAGGGCTCCTGCAGGAGGCAACTAATAGATGTATTTCTCTCACATTAATATTTCTCTCTCTGTCTTTCCCTCTCTCTCCCACTCTCCCTAAAAATCAATGGGAAAAATATCCTCGGCTGAGGGTTAAAAGAAAAGATATGACTCACAGAAGTGATGCTCTCTTCCTCTCACTATCAAATCAATTAAAAAAAAATTTTTTTATGAGGCTTGAGAGAATTAATGATACCCTCTTACCTTTCTGCCTAATTTAGAATAAATTAAGAGTCAAATTCAGGAATCAAGAAGATGGAGAATAACCCAACTGGCATGGCTCAGTGGTTGAATGTTGACCTATGAACCCTGAGGTCATTGTTCGATTCCCAGTCAGGGCACATGCCCAGGTTATGGGCTCAATCCCCAGTGGGGGGCATGCAGGAGGTAGCTGATCAGTGATTCTCTCATCGTTGATGTTTCTATCTCTTCCTCTCCCTCTCTGAAATCAATAAAATTGACCCTCACTGCTCTGTGCCCGATAGGGGGGAGCTCCCCAACCCCCTGACCGGCCCTGCTCTGTGTGTGACAGGGTGCGGCGCCCCAACCCCCCCATGGGCCCTGCTCAGTGTGTGACGGGGTGGAGCCGCAACCTCCCCATCGGCCCTGCCCTGAGTGTGAC